AAATCAATTTTATAGGTGATTTTTACAATAAAAGTCTATCTACACTTATCAGTGCCGTACCTATCAGTGTGAGTGAAAAATATAATATCGTTGCCACAGTCCCAAATAGAGTTGTTCAGACCGTCCGGCACAGTGCCGTTTTTTACCGTCAGTGCTGCTTCAGTGTTCGTTCCGCAATTTATTTATACATTTTAAAAACTGCATGTAAAACTGCTACTGAAAAGTGTTTATTTTCAAACAAAATCTGTGTAAGTATGTATACTAGGGCGGGTCGAAAATCTAATTTTTCTCAGATCCCTTGGTAATAGTGAAAATATATTGTATCATGAAGTCAACAACAAGCCTGCAAAATATTAGTATTTTATTTTAGTTGTAAGAGCCCGCGCATCGACCGCAAAGTGACCCACAGCACACTAGTCGAATAAGACCAATTCTTGTTAAAAATTCTGGGTTCGGCAAAATGGTTTGGTGCATATTATTAGATAATGAATCCGTTTAAGCAAAAGATAAAGTCAAATTTCATTTCTCGCAGCCCTTTAGCTTATCGTTAATCTCAAGATTATCTGTTTTCAATAAAATTTGAATTGTTCTCTTGATAATTGCACTTGATTATAGTCAAAAGATGTAAAGAACAGCTTTAATATTGCTGGCGTGCTGGCATGTCGCTGGTTCCAAATATTCTAATCTTTTTTTAATATTAGCTATAGTTTGCGAATTTTTGCAAATATAGGGACAATTTCGGTAACTCTAATAGAAAAGCCATTATTTTCCATCATCGTGGAAAAATTTTGTTTATGCAAATGGGTATGGAAACACTGAACAGGCACAACCTCTAGAAACACTAATTGGTTTACTTATGTCTATGAATACAATATAAAAATTGCAAATATAAGAAAATAACAAAAAACTTTGTTCAAAATTTTTTTTATTTTAAAATAATTTGTTTATAATCTGAACGATTTTAATCATATTATTATCAAAAATCGGTAACATTAAGTCTCGCCTTCAATTTGGTAATTATTAAGTACCGATCGAGCAACATTTACCAAAGTTATATGGAAAAATTTTAGTGGATCTCCAGCTTTTTTCTAAAAAAATTTCTCTTAAATTGTATAAATAACTTTTAAATGAAAGAGCCGGATTCCAGAAAAGGGTGTCAGGGAGTGACTTTCAAGCTAAATGCAAAGTATTATCGTCCAATTGGAGAGTCCTCAAAAGGATTTCCCAGGATATGTTAAATACTATTGCATTTACCTGCAGTCACTTTTTCACATCATGGAATTAACTAAAATATTTATGTATATCTAAACACTTATTGCACGTCCCCTACTTTCATATAACGGCAGAATTAGAGACCGCGAACAATTTTCAAGGCTGCATAAATGGACTTAAAATGGGCGTTTCTCACCCTAATTGTATTATGTTAATGTATGTAAATACTTATATACTTGAAACTACTATTAACTTATCAAACGATTCGTAATCTTTGATAATACATGTTTGACTTCATTCACCACAATCTTGAAAACTGACCAAATCGGCCCATGGCCCACTTAATATTATATAAACATCCGAAAACATTAGAACGTTTGAAATATATCTCGTCTCACTTTTTTGAATTTTTCACTTGGTTGCTGAAGTAATGAAGAATTGAAAATTCATAAAAGAAAATTATAGTTTTTGTAAGTTTTATCTTAATATCTTAAAAACGTGTAGACTTATTGAAAAATGATAAATGAATGTGAGATACTAAATTTAATAACCCTTAATTTGATATATCGTCCTATTTATAACAATTAACGCATACCATAGATATTACAAGCCAAAGTTAAGTTTTAAAAATTCATACATTTTGATTCAATTGCGCGGGCTAAAGATAAGTTTTAAATTAATCTTTCGTGGACCATAACAATTGGCTTAGACCTAAGACATCATAATATTACTATTACAATACGTTCAAATGCCTTTTATTTTGCCCCATATAAAATCGACCCAGCCTAATGTGTACGCATAAGATATTCAAGACTGGATTTTTGAACATGTGATGTTTAAAATATACACGTGAAATGTTGAAAACTGCAAAGGTTTTTAACGCAAAAATACATTCTCTACTAAAAATAAAAACTAAGTACATTTTATGTGCAATTTTGCTCTATGCGACAAATTTGGCATGCAAAAGTTAACAGGCAGTGTTTAATTTTATTAACACGGTATCTAAATTTGCATACATTAGGAGAGGAAACTGGTAACCTCTCTTAATATGCGTTAATTTAAACAAAAAACTTTTAGAGCAAATTTTTAACATTTTATGTGTAAACTGTAAATGTGAACACTAAGAAAAACAATAGAAATTTGTGTAGTTAAGTTTAAGTAATGATTTAACTATACTTTAAAATAGTTAAATTAAGGGTTCTAAGGGCCAAATTCACAGTGCTGCACTGAAAATCTGTAGTCAACTGCCGATTCTGAGTTAACTACGCACTGTGAATTTGGCCTTAAGTGTTTAGAATTCAACAAACAAATTTCAAATTTTTTCTACGCCACACATATGGTAAATAAAAGTTAAAAAGCAGTATTTAAATTGATTAACACGGTGTGCAAATTTGCATACATTAAGAGAGGAAACTGGTTACCCCTTTTAATATGCTGAAGTTAAAACAAAAATTTTTTAGAGTGTAGTTAACTCGGCAAAAATTTGTTTGTGTATTTCACTGACGAGCTGACGGTATTCTATTGCAAGTTTTGTTTGATATGGAGGAAAAATTAATCGAGTTGGTACGGAATTATCCAGAATTATATAATTTGGCAATAACAGCCAATTGATCATTAGTAAAATAAGTGATCTTGGTTTCAATGAACTTCATTTTACTGAAAGTTCCGGACGACATACTACGGATATGTGTGAATTGGTATCACTGATCGATGCTGATTGGCAATGATACTGAACTGATACGGCACTGATTTGTGAAGATAGATCTTAACTTTTATTATTATTAACAATCGATTACAACACATATGTACATACATATGTACTAGGGTTACAATGGCCGGCCAGATAAATTATGGATACTAATAAAGGCAAAATTCTTCCCCTGAAGAGGTTTTCCCATTTGAGTTTAAATACGGTTTCTCCTTAACTTTGATGCAAAATTACTCACGAACGTTGCGAAGCACGCCGGGTATTTGCTAGTATTTATGTGTAGGTAATATTGTACTCGTCTTCCCAGGTAGATTAAGTGCGGGTGATAAACCCATGTAGCATAGTTACATACTGTGTGCATACATACCTGTAATTAATATGGGGAAAAATGTTACAATTTCGGCATGTGACTGAAAAAAACTCTAAAATACACACAAATTGTGATTTCCAAGACATGTACGAAGTGATTAGCACAGCTGCATCCTTCAACTTGTCAACTAGCGGGAATTCCGATTTGCAGGGAATTTCGGTTTAAGTGGAAATCGGGGAATGGGCATTTTTTTCGGGGAACTGAGTATGTTATTTTAATTTTAACCATTTGACCCTTTTTGGAGCGACATTTTTTCAATTTGAATCGCAATATCTCTACAACAAAAGCTTTCCCAGATATAAGATATATACCAGATGAAAACTAACGTTTCGGGCTAGAATTGTGGAAACTTAGAATAAATTCTACTGACCAGTTTTTGAGAAAATTCCCGAAATGTATATATTCAGCAGCCCGATTTTTAGTTTTCAGGCGATAACGTTATGACATATTTATATTTTATAAACACGAAAGATAGCTTGTTTGAAGACCCTTCTACTGATATCCACATCAATGACATAGATTGAGTAGTGCGGCTTCAGTGGTAGTTTAAAAAATTGCCCTTTTTCGAATTTCTGGCAGCAGCAACGCCCACACAGGCATACGAATCAAAACATCCTGGAACAAAACCTTCCTAATTTTTTTTTGTACTTTAATTCCTGAAAGTTTGAAAAAAATTAAATGAAGGTACGTACAGACGCCACATACATACCAAAGCATCTCGTAGTGGAGACACGAACCAAAACACATTTACCTCTATATCTTTCCAACTAGTAGCCGGAACTTAATACATAAGGTATCGTTTGAAAGATATTGGCCTATAGAATAACACAAAATATGATGGGTGTACCCACAAGCCCCATTAAACCGGCAAAAGCAAAAACACGTTTTTTGTTTCGCAACACTTTAGCCTAATTTTTAAGAATTCGGTTAATCGGTTATGAAGCTTGAATACATTTTCTGGACACACTCTCTCCTTTCCAACCATATCTCAAACATGTCGATTGAACGTCTGGATAAAAACTTCCAAATCTCGTGTATATATAAGCGAGTCATTTCAGCATGCTACTGTGGCTGCTTTCGTCACTCGCGCGCACTGCCGTGCGCTGTGATTAAGGTTGTACGAGTTAGAAGTTTCCAATGCAATTACTTTTTTTTACGCGGATTTCCTTTTTACGCGTTGTTTTGTAGAAATTGGACCGCATAGGCTGATTTGCATGAAAATTGATATATTTTTACGCGTTTTTTTACGCGAAAATTTTTTGGTCCCAGTTAACCGCGTAAAAAGAGGCCAAGGTGTAATAACAATGTTAAAATAACTGTTAATAAGCCACAATAATATTGAAAAATAAATAGTTTAGAATGAGCTTGCTTGAAACTATACAATAAATAAAATTAATGTATAGAATTAACAAAACAACCACACTGTCAATTTTAAATAGCGGCAAATCAGCAGTACATGATAGTAGTAGGTTGAATAAAAAAATGGATTAGCAACACGAGTTTACGGGATGTGCATAGCTCAGTGGTTAGCGCTTTTGCCTTTGTACATTAATGATGCGGGTTCGATCGCTGCTGAAGTCTAGAAAAAGAAAGGGCTGAGTTCCAAGTTGCATGTTGCTTTACATTCGTACTAAGTATAGAGCTCCTAAACAGCAAACTGCTTACGATATGCAAAGTATCGAGTTCCGATAAATTTTTATGCGTTTTAGATGCGCATACAGTGAGCATATAGCGCGTCTCTAATTTTTGTTATGCGCAAATTTTTCATAATGGCAGAAGAGGAAGGGTAAATAAAGATTATTAGTTTATTTTCATTTTATGAGAAAATTAAAATTATTTTCATGCCTGTTTTTGTCTTTGCAGTGATAAAAAGTGGACACATGCATGGAAAACCCTGCTTATTGACGTAAGTCTGTCCTATGAAGAAGACTTTCGGTCAAAACGAAAGAAGCGTTCCGTCCTTTGGGAAAAAGTGCTCCGGGAGATGAAAGATGTAGCACCAGAACTTCCATTTTCGCGCGATGACGTGACTAGGAAATTTTTAAACTTCATGGTCACATATAAGCGGATAAAAAAACGAAACAACACATCGGGTGAAGCGGCAACGCCTTGGGAATTCTTTGAGCTGTTTGACAATGTCTACGGGAGTAGAGTGGATATCACAGTACCTGAGGAAATTTTAGATTCCCTCTACAATACCCAACCGCAGACTCAAACGAATATAGTTCCGAGCATGGTGTTAGTAGTGCTACTGGTACCAGTGAGCCTCCTCAAAAAACGAGCGCGGTGTGAAGTACTACATTTTTTGCGAACAGAAAGTATAGAAGATAAAGAAGTTATGAAGGAGTTTCTAGAATGTGAAAAAGAGATGTGTATAAAGTTAGCGAAACAACATGAA